TTTCCCTGAAGCTTTTTAGTCTTTTTTTTTTTGGCAAAGAAGACTTTTTTGTTTGCTAGCTATCCGTCAATTTTGAAAGGGTCAAATTGAAGCATGAGCAGACAGTGGGTAAAAAAGTTTGTTGAAACTTGTTCTAGAATTGCGTTAGTCAACTTGACAGATCTTAGACATGCCTACCTAGGCACATTTCCCTATCTTCTGCTCGCGTTCCCTTTCTTAATCTCTCCGATTATCGTAGAAGTACAAGCAATTAGCGAGCTCACGGTTTATTATTGAGAACAACTAGTTGTGATTTTCTCTCTTTCTTTTTTGCACTCTCTCTTGTTTCCCTCATTACTCAGCTGATTTTAGTATTGCGCTGTCAGCAAAAAGTAACTTACACAACAATAAATTTTCTTTGCTAACTTACACTCGTAATTACAGATGGCTGCTCATTGTTTCGCGAGTTTCTCAAGAAGGAATTCTCGGATGAAAATGTCGAGTTCTGGCTGGAATGTGAAGAATTCAAAAAGATGAAAGAAGGAAAGAAGTCAACGATCCAGAAAGCACATGAGATCTTCAAGGAGTATGTGGCTGCGGCTGCTCCTAAAGAGGTGATTTTTGAGTTGATGTGCTTCGTATGTCAGACTCCGGTGCCACATCCGCTGATATGACGTCGTATAGCTGCGTGCACATGTTATCTGCTTTACTATAAACTTTGGCGCCATAAAAATTATCACACAATGTGTTTGTTAGATAGTAATGTGAAATTCACGCCAATATAGTGGGTCATGCACTTTCTCAATTTGCTGTTATTCTTGCAATTATAGCTGAGAGAGTTTGGTTAAACTCTTTCGAAGACTTGCCTTTAGTTTTCTCGGGTAAGATGTCACCAGAAGGACAAAGATGTTGTTGGAGATTTACCTTTTCTTTCCTTAGTGGTCTTTATGAAATTCGATTGCATAGAAGTTGAACCAACTTTAGTTCTTAAAATATACAAGTATAAACAAAAGTGGCTGCTTTCAGTACTTTGATGTGTGTTAAGTAGTGGCTTGTGTTTCACTGCCCGATCTTGATGTGATGAAGGTTTGCCAATTTCATCAATTTAG